TGTTCTCTTTGTCTCTTTTTCCAGGTGAATTTCAGACAAACTGAAAATCGACATTGCTGAAACGACAGTGACCTCATGATGACATCATCTGCAGTGACATCACAGAACTCAGGGTCAAAGGTTGTGATGCAACTTACTGTCAGGAAGTTTCTTCACTCTGTTTCCAAGGTTACTGAAGTACTGATGACTCATTGAGTCGTCCGCAGAGATCCTCTTCTTCCCTTCAAACTAACAATTCAAAAAAGTTCCTGTTCAGTTCGAGTCAATGTAACTTTACTGTTATTATTTATTATGATGATGTCACATCCCATCTGTGACACGTTCACTGACCTGCAGGAATTTTGACAACAGCTCCACTCCTTCACTGCTGAGCCTGAAAAAAAAACCACACACACACACACAGAGAAGAGATGTGACACTTATTTCTGAATATAATTTACTTAATTATATTTTATTATTTAAATATTTCAGTCTAATTTCATTTGTCTTTATTTTGTTTGTGTTTTGTTGTTGTTGCTTCCTGTGAGTTGAGACCTGAACGTAGAGCTGACGAGTGTTTGGAAAGTCAAAATAATTCATAACCACTATTCCTACGATATATGAAGATATGAGGGAGAAGAAGGAGTTAGGAGAGGAGAACCACGGTTCAGAGAAAATCCAGCTTCACTAACACTCCGATCTTTTTTAAACCAACATTCAGAGAGTTTGAACAGTTCTTATTATGGTCACTCTGTTTGGACGGTTCCCAGCGAAGTGGACTATTGGAACGTGTGTGATCGGATCATTGAGGAGAGACGTTAAAGCTGAATGTATCTGGGGTCAGAGGGTCGTCAGTGTGGTTGTGTACCTGGGGGTGTGGTCACTCAGTCTCTCTGCTCTGTATTCAGGAAACTTGAACGTCACAAACTCGTCATTGGAACTGATCCCAGACCAGATTTGCTCTGTGGGTGTACCTGTATATACACACACACACACACACACACACACAAACACAAACACACACTGTTCACTGACGAGAAGATGATGTCACAATTTATGAGGTTGTAAACAGAAGCTGATTGGTTCTTACCGAGCAGTTTGAAGATGAAGTGAAGCTCCTCCTCCACCGTGGAACCAGGAAACAACGGTCGACCTGTCGCCATCTCATAGAAGATACAACCTACGCCCCTACATAGAGAGAGRGAGGGAGGGAGRGAGACAGGTTAGAAACAGAGAGAGAGGGAGGCGGACAGATTAGAAACAGAGAGAGAGGGAGGGAGGGAGACAGACAKGTTAGAAACAGAGAGAGAGAGGGAGGCGGACAGATATAATATACACAGTGGAAACTGTTTATGAGTTAAAAAGCTTTGTACACAATCATTCTTCTACAAATGCTGTTTAAAAAATGTGCTTATAGTGATCAAGTTATTTGTTCGTATGTTTTCATACATGTTGGACTGTAAAGAAGTTATTTCTCACAGTTTATACTCTGCTCCTCTCTGTGTCATCATTCAACCTGCAAACTCAATCCAGCCAAACCGAGCGTCCCACCATCTTTACATACATCAACATGTGTCCGATCACACTGTGTGTGTGGGTGTGTGTGTGTGTGTGTGTGTGTGTGTGTGTGTGTGTTCTGGGACATCATTCAGAACAGTTACACAATTCGTTTATAGTAATATATACTTTGGCCCGGGATAAAAGTGATCACTATAAGCAGTTTCCACTGTGTATATAAGTATAAGTATATATAATGTTGCAGTACAGACCACATGTCGATGTGAGTAGAGTAGTCGGTGCTGCCCAGTAAAATATCTGGAGGTCTGTACCACAGAGTCACCACCTCGTTAGAATACGTCTTTGTAGGAATCGACTTCGCTCGAGCTAAACCTGAGTCAAACATAATAATCAATAATTATCAACATGATCATTTTATCAATGTGTATGTTGTGTCTGTTGTGTGTCTGTTGCTTGTCACTCACCAAAGTCGGCCAATTTGAGTTCTCCTCGCTCATTGATCAGCAAATTCTGAGGTTTCAGGTCTCGATGAAGAACTTTTCTTTTGTGGCAGTACGACAAACCTCGAAGTAACTGAAAGAGGAAGAGCTGCGAAAAGAACAACTGACAAGTGAGTTAACCATAACGTGAGTAAACTAAACTAACTCTGAGTAAACTCAACCTGACTAAACTACCATAGAAACGAATCTGCAGTAACAGAAGAACAAAGACTGACGGTGAAGTTCTCAGTCACAGAACCTCGTCGTCTACAAACAGTTTATCTTGATCTGTATTTATTTGATCTGAGTGTTTGAGCTGCGTCACTCAGACCTGCAGCTCAAATACAACTAACTAACTGTTAACTAACTAGTTCTAATCCTTCAGATTCTATTGAACTAACAACTCTAT